CTAGGGTTGGGTATCGAAAACCGGTTCCATTTTAGAACCGGTTCCAAATTTCCAAGAACCGGGTATTCGATAAGACACGTGCATTTCGATTCTGCATAACAATTCCTGCATTTGCATTTTAATGTGATTAAAAATGATTTGCAAGAACGGAAAGAACTGGCGCCCTGTTTGCGTGCAGCGCACACAAAGCGCAAGTGCGAGCACAGAGAACAGAGGTCGCGGTACGGGTTCCCGGTTTGTGTCCGTTCTCGAACTGTTCCGTGTATTTCCACTGTACAAAAGGTTGTTCCGGGCCGAAACTGACTTTTCATATTTGTCGACCAATATGCAGAAAACTACGTCAGTATATCATCATAAACACAGCCGTTTTTGTCTTACGTGAACGTAAACAGATGATGTTTTTTCTGTGGTATTTTTTTTTTTTTTAAAGCACAGGCAAAATTCCTCTTGCAGTGTTCTGTAGGCTGCTGCATTTTTGCTCGTGTTATTCAGCTGCAACAGAATGCTTTGTAAAAAAGACAGAATAAATGTTTGACATCTAAATGTTTGACTTAATTTTTTTTTATATTGGATTTTTTATCTTATTGGAATTGAAACTAGGAATCGATAAGAATCGGAATCGATAAGCAGAATCAGAATCGATAAAATTAAAACGATACCCAACCCTAGTAGACTACAATGCCGGCTGTTCTGACTCACAGACTGTAAGTACATTTGCAGTGTTCTGTAGGCTGCTGATTTTTGCTTGTGTTATTCAGCTCTAATAGAATGCTTTGTAAAAAAACAATAAATGTTTGGCATCTAAATTTTTGACTTCATTTTTTTTATATTGGATTTTTTATCTTATTGGAATTGAAACTAGGAATCGATAAGAATCGGAATCGTAGACAGAGACAGTAAACGATTGAAGATGTGCTGCCAAAATAAAAGTCCTGCTTACAACACATCGGCTAAAGAGAAAAACTTAATGTCTAATGCCGAAAATGAATAGAAAATGCCAAATATTGGCTGCTATATTAGCTTAGCAATATATTGGTTGACCACTAATGATGGACACAGACTCGTTTTTCCAACAAATACTGTTTTCATTTGTCATATGTCTGCAATGAGTTTTTTGTGTGTGTGTTTGGAATGACTAAAGTCTGGCAGTGTGTGATTCTCAGTCTTTCAGATTATGATGCCCAGGTTTTCTCTCTAACTACTTACAAAGTCAGCAAGTGTATAATGTTTGTTCAGATTTTTAAAAGTTGTGTAGTGTATTCTATCCTTAACAAACACATTTACTCATCAATATACTTGAAAGCATTTATTGTCCTGGCACTCGTATAAAGCAGTATTGGTGTGTTGTACCTGTGAGCTTGTGCTCTGAGGGTGACTGTCCAGGTCAGCCAGCATGCATGTAAGAGAGTCTATCTCTGCATCAATAGTAGAGATGTGCTTCTCTGATCCCCGATTCTGAGCAAACAACAGCCACAAAAAAAACTCACATTTTGATACATTCACGTATACAGATTTAAAGGTATACAACCAAACCAAAAATGAAAATTCTGTCATCATTTAAACATCCTCACATCATTCCAAACCTTTATGCTTCCCAGTGAATTCCATTATATGGACAAACAGTATATTAGAAGCCAAAGGGAACTGAATGGTTACCAAAATTCTTTAAAGTATCTTCTTTTGTGTAAGAAAAAGAAGAAAGTAAGTCATACAGGTTTGGAAGGACATGAGGGCAAGTAAATGATGACAGACTTTCATTTTTGGTAAGACTATCCTTTTTTCCCTTTTCCTTAGGCACATTTAAGGAATAATTAACTAATTGAATCATCTTTCAATCCAGTTTTGAGCAACACAGTCCTGCAGAGAAATGATAATTATAAATGAACATGTGGATGTCACTGACGTGAAGTTCATGGCTGGCCATGCGGGGGTTCCATGTGTGGTGGTCTTCTTTGGGCCCCTGGCCTGGAGCATAGTATCGGTCTCTTAACTGGGGAGTCAAGGGGTTGTAGGTAGTAGACCCTGAGCGATCATCTTGATGCTGGTGATTCATGGTTCCACCTGAGCACATAAATATCAGTTCAGATGACGAAGCACAAACTGTCAAATAGTATTCCAGCATTAGATTCTTTAAGTTTAAATTCAATGAAACAGATAATATAATGAGGTTCATATAAAATATTAACTGTGTTTGTGAGGTTGACAATTTTAAATTTTAAACAAGAACCATGTCACATACTGGACCATTTGGGAAAGGCATAATGCATATGTTTGTTTATTTATGCAATGCCAGATTCTACAGTTCAGTTATTTCATTGTAAAATATAAACCAAATACGATATTAATATGATATTTAATAACACAGCCCTGCATCTTGAAACAAATTCTGCTGGTTTGTAAAGGAGGAGTAATATTTCCTATTTTGATGATGCTGCGTCCAAAAATATCAATAAAATGTACTATCACTTACAGTTTTTTTTTTTTTTCAAAATGGAGATTTTGAAGTGAAGTGAAGTGAAGTGACATGGGGCCAAGTATGGTGACCCATACTTGGAATTAGTGCTCTGCATTTAACCCATCCAAAGTGCACACACACAGCAGTGAACACACACACCGTGAACACACACCCGGAGCAGTGGGCAGCCATTTTTGCTGCGGCGCCCGGGGAGCAGTTGGGGGTTCGGTGCCTTGCTCAAGGGCACCTCAGTCGTGGTATTGAAGGTGGGAGAGAGCGCTGTACATTCACTCCCCCCACCTACAATCCCTGCCGGAACGAGACTCGAACCCGCAACCTTTGGGTTATGAGTCCAACTCTCTAACCATTAAGCCACAACTTCCCCAGTTTTTCAGATTGTTTTTCAGATTGTTTCAGATTGTTTCAAAGCAGCCAAAAAGAAGTATTCAACATTAAGTATTTAATACTAAACTAACAATCTGCAAAATACATTTAATGTCAAAACCAAATTAAGCTTTTTTACCCTCCCACAAAATCGGTAATTTTCTATCGCTGTTTGGATGTAGTAAAGCATGCACAGAGGTAGCAGAAAACATCTGGGTCATGTCTGCACTTTCTTCTGTCACTGGCCATAATTCTAACCTTGAAATCAGGATTAGGCATAAACTAATGTCTTCAGAATCATGATACATGTGAAAATAGGCTGAAAATTGAACAAATTGAACTGCTCCGGGTGTGTGTTCACGGTGTGTGTGTGTTCACTGCTGTTTTCAGATTGTTTTTCAGATTGTTTCAGATTGTTTCAAAGCAGCCAAAAAGAAGTATTCAACATTAAGTATTTAATACTAAACTAACAATCTGCAAAATACATTTAATGTCAAAACCAAATTAAGCTTTTTTACCCTCCCACAAAATCGGTAATTTTCTATCGCTGTTTGGATGTAGTAAAGCATGCACAGAGGTAGCAGAAAACATCTGGGTCATGTCTGCACTTTCTTCTGTCACTGGCCATAATTCTAACCTTGAAATCAGGATTAGTTTATTTTTTTTAAATTGTAACCTGGCTCACAGGAGGTTAGGAATTATGTCTTTGTGGCGTTTTTTTTTTTTGGCGATTAAGCGATAATGCAAGACTTCTTCACCTTACAAATACATGTCACGTCACTTTTTTTATTTTATTTTTTTTTAATTGTAACCTGGCTCACAGGAGGTTAGGAATTATGTCTTTGTGGCGGTTTTTTTTTTTGGCGATTAAGCGATAATGCAAGACTTCTTCACCTTACAAATAGTAGTTGAATAGTTGTTTTGTGAGAAAGTGTGACAAGCTTGAGCAAAACAGCCACAATTTTTGGAATCAGCATCTCAAAATTGGTAAGAATCAAGAATTGGATTTCATTCCGCAAATATGATGCAGGCTGGTGTAATATAACTAAGATATTTAATTCTAAACTACTTGGATAAACTTCAGCAAAATCCTTTTCGCAGGCATCAACAGAATAAAACAATTTTCTCAAAGCATGATGCATAAACATGCACTGAAAGGTTTAAATTTTACTGTTACAGGGCTCTTACCTGAAGGTCCAGTAGCCATATATCTTATAGGCATACCATTTCCTCCCGTTCCACCATTCTGGTCATACATGTTATATTTGGGCCTCTGGTCGGGCAGACCTTTCTTGGGAGGTCTGTAGAGAGCGGGGCCAGAGTGTGACATTGGTGTTGTGGCTCTATCTGGGGTACCGAGGGCTCCTGGAGGCAGCCAGTTGGGGCCTGACATACCAGGCTTCTACAAGGACAGCACAGAATAAGTGTGATGTCACTGTTGTGTAACTTTTCTAATTTCTAAGCGTTTTATTTTACATGTGCATTCTGAACACGTGACCACACATTTAAGAGTTAAGGCCCTAAGCAGTGCTGTCCAAGCTGGTAAAAATACAATAACTCTAACTACACAAAACAGGTTGTTGTGTTTCCACTGGCAATGCATGGTTTCCAAGATAACAATAGGTGCCAAGTTAAAAAGCAGGAAAAGGCAACCATTCTCCGCCGAAAGGGGAATTCCAGTGTTCCTTAGTTTAATTGCATTTCTCTCTGGCACATACATATAATTCCCACAGGTGCACAGCACTCGCAATGTATTCGCTCTTCTCTCAAGTCTCCCACTGGTACAATAGCCATTGTCCCCAACACTTAATCCACAATCCTTTATCTACAGAGTCTGTCCATGGAAATAATATAGGAAATGTTGTGTAATGATCAACTTCTCATTTGAGCCATCTGGTGTCCGCTGGACAATGTCCTGTGTATCCAAGTGCTGAGGAGTGTTTGTTATTATAAGCTTATGAAAACATAGCAAATAAACCTCACAACAATATAAGAGGCCAACAAATGCTGTAAACACAATAAGAAAGGCTCTAATCTTAAATATTAAAACACAAACACGTCCTTTGAAACTGTGCAGGATAGTCCAGTAGCTGGTTTCTAACTGGTCATTAGCCAGCTGATCAGTTATCATGCCCCCCATGACAACCTTAATATAACCAACTAGTTGCTGGTTTGTTTGTTGCTGGTCTTGGATCAGATAATGACTAGCTATCATGTAACAAAACAAATAGCATCTTAAAATAGATTTTTCACCTGTGACTTTTACTCTGATCACTGCACTGAACTACATTCAAACACATGTGCAAGTTTGCAACCAGAGAAATGTCCAACCTCACCTCCTTGGATTGCACTGCAATCCGTGAAAACTCGTACTCAAAGCCGGGGATTGTTAGGCCGATGAATCACCCGTACGAGAATGCGTTTATCTTATAAAACCCATTCATCTGCGACATATAGGCTAGTGTTACTGCAGCTCTCGGCTGCAGTAACACTGCAATGTGTAACACTCGGCCAATGTAACATCGCAAAGTTACATCGACTGGCAAAAGCACGACACTGCCGCGCATGAACGTCACGCTCATGGGAGTTTAGGATAACAACAACTCATCTATGGTAACGTGTGTCCTGTGTTTATTGGGATATTGAAACAATAGGACATTAACGATTTCCCGTACCTCTTGAAAACGCTGCAGACTCCCAGTCTACCGAGCATCTGCTTCGCCTCGCCTCGTTTTCATCTGCAAAATGAAATCAGCTCATGAAATGAACCGGCGCGCTGCGTCCTTGCGTCTAGTATATCTGTTTCAATTGTAAAGTTCAGTTAATGCTATCTCAGTGCACTTACCACAAAGTAGTATATATTAATGAAACTGTTAAAAATGATAAATAAACTCTCTAGACATTAAAGAAAACATAAACGAGTCGCCTATATAGTTTACTTTCTCGGTGAGCAACATAACATCCCGTTTACATTGTTTATAAGATAATGCGAATACTGCAAGTCGCCTCGGCTGAATTAACCGAGATTTTTTCTTCTAACACTCACACGCTTAAGTAAACACTATCAGCAAGCTCTGTTCGCTTTAGGTTTGTGGTTAACCTAATACACTAGTCAAGTACTTTTTTTAGTTCTCTGTCGGTTTCATTTTAGTAGCCTACTTTTATTGGAGGATCCAGCAGCGGCTGACAGAGGCCTGTGTGGAGCAATCCAAACGCATGACGTCACATGGCAAGCTGATTTAACATTTATCCTTTACACTAACTGATATTTTTACGTTACAGCAGGCCCGGACTGGCCATCGGGAGCACAGGGAGAATTCCCGGTGGCCTGGAGGCTGATTTGGCCCGCTGCCCTGTTTTTTGTTGTTGTTGTTTTTTTTTGTTATTATTATTATTATTAATATTTTATATTTATGCTTTCTCAATGTACCAAAGTGATCATTTCCGATTTTTTCATTCGATAATAAATCATAAATCGGTTAGTCTTGACTGGCAGCGCTGCGCTATAGGAATCGGCTCACGTCTGTTCCGCGCTTCCGTCAAACGGTTCCGAACAGAACTGATGCGCGGGACTTGATGAAAGAGAGGAAGCGGCCAGAAGAAGCAGTGAAATGTAGCTACATCACTGACCTGTTCAGGGCTTCAAGTGCAGGTCAGTTTCATCTGTATAAATATGCTAGATAGTTTTGTCTTTATTAACCTAGTTGAGTATTAGCTATAGGCTATCAGTAGCACCCCATTATTATCATCATTCAGAATATTGTGCTAAAGGACATCAATATCGATTGTAAAGTTACATTAAAAAAATGAGCAGAGACAGATATTCACATGGACTTATTGTACAGGGAGGGAGGGAGCTTGAGCAGACAGCAACACAAAAATGATATGAGTCACAGCCTAATAACTCAATAGTGTGTTCAGTATTAGAATTTTTCAACAAATATATTGTACTAATTTTGACATTTAGGCACTTTAACATTTGAACACACACCACTGCTCCGGGTGTGTGTTCACGGTGTGTGTGTGTTCACTGCTGTGTGTGTGCACTTTGGATGGGATAAATGCAGAGCACTAATTCTGAGTATGGGTCACCGTACTTGGCCACATGTCACTTCACTTCACTCACTTCACTTTAGAAATTGTGTTCTAATACACTACCAGTCAAAAGGTTTTGATCAGTAAGATTTTTAAAGTTTTTTAAAGAAGTCTCTTCTGCTCACCACAACTGCATTTATTTGATCCAAAATACAGCAAAAATAGCAATATTGTGAAATATTTTTATTATTTAAAATGACTGATTTCTATTTGAATATATTTTAAAATGTAATTTATTCCTGTGATTTCAAAGCTGAATTTCCAGCATCATTACTCCAGTCTTCAGTGTCACATGATCCTTCAGAAATCATTCTAATATGCTGATTTGCTGCTCGAAAAACATATATTATTATTATTATTATTATTATTATTACGTTGAAAACAGATTAGATTTTTTTAGGGCAGAGATATTGGGGCAAATGAAGAAAAGGGAAAGGGAATTGAAGGTGCAGTGCAAGAGAGAACCTTTTATTATTTTCCACGGCCCCAGACTAAGGATTTAGAACTTTTTATGTGATGGCCATACAAATAATAGGGTTGTCTGTGGTTTCAGAAATTGTTGTGGATGTATAGGATATATACAGAAAAAAAAGGGCCAAAATCGCACCTTTTGGGGTACAACAGCTTGTCACTGGAGCAGTACCCTTCAAAGGACATATTTGTTAATTTTTTTACCCCTAATAGGTAGGCCTACAAATTAGTACCTTAAGGGTACGAATTACTACTCTAAGGTACTAATATGTTCCTATTAGACGTAAAAAAGGTACAAAGATGTCCTTTTAAGAGTACTGCTACAGTGTTGAGCTGTTGTACCCCAAAAGGTACAATTTTGGCCCCTCTTTTTCTGTGTGGCCTGGATGTGTGTGAGATTTCCCGGCCTGAAAATGCATCCCCTGCGGTACAGTACAGTATTTTTAAATTGTTATTAAAAAATTCAATAGCGAATAGAATGTATTTTCATTTAACTATTTCTTTTTCTGTAGTTACTTGAATTTAACTATTCATAAAGTTACGTTCAGGGCCGTCGCTAGTGGCATTGTAAAGCATTGAAACGCAAGTAGAAAGAACTCAACTAATACTTGCGTGTTGTGTTTGCTGCGCACACAGAGAGCCGCATCTCCGATACGCAGACACTGAATTGAGTTCTACTTTGCATCTTCTTTCAATTGAACGAACAAATACACCTCATCAATATAAACATGCAAGCACAAAAAGATGCAAAAGAGCTTAATTCAGCCCCCGCGCGCTGTGTTCTGTGCACAGAAAGCCACGTCTCACAGCCCTTGAACACCCGAATTGAGTTTTGCGCTTCTTGCGCTTGAACGGACAAATACATACAAAAATATGTCAACATACCTGTCTTGGAAAGTATCTTCAAAAAACTGTTAGTTATGTTTTAAGAGAACATAAGCAGTTGAGAAAGAAATCGGATGTGTATCATTATATTGGATGTATTGTCTCTTAACGTAACCGTGCCTAATTTACTAGCTGCCAGTCCATAATGTTAATCCAAGAAAATAAAAGAGAGAAATCACTCACTGCTCTTGACTGAATTACTTTGTAGTTTTAACAAGAATTAATCTATATTTAATTTATACAGTGTGGACTATGCAATAATATTTTACATTTGATTATCCTGTTTTTGTACTTGAACAACCTTGAAAAAAACAAAACATGGTTTAATTTGTTCTAATCTTTGTTCTATTTATTTATTTGTACTACATGATTTCAAACAGGGCCTACGGGTACAACCTGCACTGGGGCCCTGCAAACCCCAGCTACGGCCCTGGTTATGTTTTCCTAGTACAAATTAAATATGCACCTATTTAATAAATGCTGTGTATTCAAATTGCTACTAGTAAAATTTTAATCATAGGCTACTTGTAAGATTTTTAATTCAACTTTAAAATGGCTATTTAAAATTAGTAAATTAATTAAATAGATATTTATTATATTTGCTGCCATTGTGACTGGTCATTAAATATTACATATGAAAGTTTTTTTTTAAATCACATATGGGATAGATACTAGTGTCTCATAAATAAGTTTTAATACCTACTAAAATGTAAAACTGGAATAGTTACCAGCAAGAACTGTAATATAGGCCTAATAGTTGGAAGTGAATAATTGACATCTGAATGACTTTTTGACAAATATTTGCAATATTTTTTGAATAGTTATTTGTCACTATTGGAATAGAGACTTATAGCAAATTATTAAATACTAGTAAGTAATGAATAAATACTTGTGATTAATTTGATAGATTTTGATAGATTAAATAGAATTTTCAAAATTCAAATTTTGATAATTTGATAGTCGCATTTGGTAAACTATAATATCAATTTTTAATAGTAATAGTACTAGTGAAACTGAAAAGGTCACTATGGTTTTACTTATTAATAATTTAGAGATAAATGCTAGTTTAAAGGAATACATGTTAAATTGGCTTGCCATAGATGCCAGGGTGTTGTGGAGCATATTTTGGGATACCAGCTGTGTGTGTCCCATATTGGAATGACATATGGTGGCAGTCCTAGTAAAGGGAGAGAGAAAGAGGGATTTATTTATCGCCTAGGGCAACTTAATCCTGGGCATATCACTTGTTCTCAAAATGAAACGGAATTTTGAGCTGTCTTCAGTTGAACTTTGATAGATGAATCTATTATTTAACCCCTTGAGTTGATTAAATCAGCCAATGCTAAAGCAACTGATTAATAACCGAAACTGTTATCTGTATGAATAACAGCATGCATATCTATTATTTAATTCTCCCAATTCTAATGCTACTTGTGTTTGGATATATGGAAAATGTATATAGTTTGTCTCTAGTGGATTTTCAATGCCAACAAAAAATGATTGATCACAGAACACTTAAATCACAAAATAGTACATGTACTGTATATACATTTTTATTTCATTTTTTAAACAGATTTTGCTACATTGCTACAACAATGTAGAAATGTAACTAAATTAAATAAGAAATATTATGTAATATAAAATAGAAATTATAACACAATAATTATAAATAAACAATAATAAATATAAAATATAATTAATAAATATACCCATAGATATAATAAACAATGTATAGAAATGTTACCATTTCATTTTGGATTCAATTTTATAAGTTAACAGAACCAACCTCCTGTGTGAGACTTTAATTTAATTTATTAATTGTTATTTAATTTATTATTACAACTTGATTTTTAATGATACTTACACTCTGTGCTCCACTTTAACATCCTGCCTAGATAATATCTGCCCTCTCACCTCCAGGCCAACACGTGAAACACTCTCCAGCATCTGGCTCTCTGAAACGCTACGTGACCATCAGACTAAGCTCAAGGGCTCTTGAGAGGAAATGGCTGATCTGAACCAGTATCAGTCTCTCCTCTCCTCTTTCTCCTTCAGGTTTTCTGTTGCCAAGGTTACTTACTACCAAGACAAGATCAGGATCAGACACCCACAGACAGTTCATAACACTCACCTCCTCACACTCATCTCTCTGACTGCTGATGACTGCCGGCACCTGCTGGTACCACCACAGAGAGGTAGGCTGCAAAGTTGCTTTCTAGAAAATTCACACTCTAACAATAGAGCTGACCATTAAATTCTGACCATACATTCAAGGTATCTCCCATAGGTGTTGATCAGGTTGGTCACTCTCTTTGCTGCTCTTCATAAAGAGATGTCTGGTATTTATAGAAGAAGTGTGAATGAATGGTCTTCATGTGAGCAGTCTAAAAGAATATTAATTAATTCTTTTAACTCTGGGTATACTCTCAGAAAAAAAGGTACAAAATCTGTCACTGGGGCAGTACCTTTTCAAAAGGCACACCTTTGTACCTAAACAGTCCATACTGGTACCTTAAAGGTACATATTAGTACCTAAAAGGTACAAAAGTGTACCTTTTGAAAAGGTACTGCCCCAGTGACAGCTTTTGTACCTTTTTTTCTGAGAGTGTATGATCAGTGTACTTCCTACAATGAAATGGGTTTGAGACTCCCATTAGAAACGAACTATTTGGGGAAAGTTGATTAGGTATTTTTAT